CTCAGGCTGGTCTCAAACTTGTGAGCTCAAGCAATCCACCTGCCTCGGTTACCCAGAGTACTAGGATTATAAGCATGAGCCACCACACCAAGCCAGGATGGGATTTATTTATTTATCCGCACCTGGCCAGGATGGGATTTATTTATGTATTTATTGAGACAAAGTTTCACTCTTGCTCTGGGTAGAATGCCATGGCGTCAGTTTACAGCAATCTCAAACTCTTGGGTTCAAGTGATTGTCTTGCCTTAGCCTCCGAGTAGCTGGGGCTATAGGTGCCTGCCACAACGCCTGTCTATTTTTAGAGACCGGGTCTCACTCTGGCTAAGGCTGGTCTTGAACCCGTGAGCTCAGGCAATCCACCCGCTTTGGCTTTCCAGAGTGTAAGGATTACGGGCGTGAGCCACTGAGCCTGGCCAACAAAGATGGCTTTTAATCTAGTCCCCAATACCTTGTTCCCTATTTTCATCTGAAATCTTGTCAGAATGGCCTTTATTGTCCATATTTCTATCAGCATTCTGGCCTTGACCACTTAACCGATCTCTAAGGAGTCCCAAACTTTCCTCAGTCATCTTGATTTCTCTTTTTTTTTTTTTTTTGTCAGAGTGTTATGGCATCACAGCTCACAGCAACCTCCAGCTCTTGGGCTTAGGCAATTCTCTTGCTTCAGCCGCCCCAGTAGCTGGGACTATAGGTGCCCACCACAATGCCTGGCTATTTTTTCTTTTTGTTGCAGTTTGGCTGGGGCTGGCTTCGAACCCACCACCCTCAGAATATGGGGCTGGTGCCCTACTCACTGAGCCACAGGCGCCGCCCCAGTCATCTTATTTTCTAAACCCCCGGGAGAATCTAGGGTTTTTCTAGGCTGCTCCTCCACATTCTTCTAGCTTCTGTCCATTACCCAGTTCTGAAGTCACTTCCATATTTCAGATATTTCTTATCAGCAACAACATACTTCTCAGTACCAGTTTTCTTAGCCCATTTTCTGTTGCTTATAACAGAATACCTGAAACTGCATAATATATTAAGAAAAGAAATTTCTTTCTTACAGTTATGGAGGTTGAAATGTACAAGGTCAAGGGGCTGCATCTTGCTGGTGGGGATTCTGCAGGGAATCCTATGGTGAGAGATCTCAGCATCAGTTATTATTTTGACTTTTAGTATTGAGACTTTTTTTTTTTGAGTCAGGGTCTTGCTTTGTTGCCTAGGTTGGAGTGCAGTAGTGTCATCACAGGTCATTGCCACCTTAAATTCCTAGGCTAAAACACTCTTCCTACATCAGGGTCTGGGGTAGTTGGGACTACAGGTGTGTACCACACTAGGCTAATTTTTTTTTTTTTTAATCTGAGATAGAGCCTCAAGCTGTCTCCCTGGGTAGAGTGCTGTGGCATCACAGCTCACAGCAACCTCCAACTCCTGAGCCCAAGCAATTCTCCTGCCTCTGCCTCCCACATAGCTGGGACTACAGGTGCCTGCCACAATGCCTGGCTATTTTTTGGTTGCAGCCGTCATTGTTGTTTGGCGGGCCTGGCTGAAATTGAACCCTCTTGCTCAGGTGTATGTGGCTGGTGCCTTAGCCACTTGAGCCACTAGGCTAATTTTTTTATGAGACTTTTTTCTTTTTTTTTTTATTGAGAGAGAGTTTCACTATATTGCCCTCGGTAGAGTGTTGTGGCGTCACAGCTCACAGCAACCTCAAACTCTTGGGCTTAAGTAATTCTCTTGCCTCAGCTACCCAAGTAGCTGGGACTTAATAGGTGCCTGCCACAGTGCCGGGCTATTTTTTTGTTGCAGTTGTCATTGTTGTTTAGCGGACCTAGGCCAGGTTCAAACCTGCCAGCCTCAGTGTATGTGGCTGGCACCCTAACCTGGCTACAGGCATCTAGCCTGTATGAGATTTTTTAAAAAATTATTAATAGTTTATTTATCACTCATATTCATAGCTCAGGAACACAGGTCAGTGACAAATGTCTATGTAAATCAGCCCAAAGAAATTCTTTGTATTTCAAAATTATTTTATGTGCTGAAAGACATCAGCCTTCCTCATCTCAAAATCTTTCATAGAATCATAATTTCTGTAGAAATCTGCATATGCCTTCTTTCTTGGTTCAGCCACAGCAAAACTTATAGAAAACTACAACCCCCAGGGATACAACAAATGCTCCAACAATATGAATCCGCAGGCGCATGGCCAAAAGGCCACACATCTGAGGTTTGGCCAAAGCACTGGAAAACATGGTAGTTACTATCCTTGATGGATTGCCAACCTCACCGCGTCCTTCCTGGCTGAGGGACACACAACTGCCCTGTATGAGATTTTTTAACCATGAGGAATTTGTGGGCTGAACAAATGAGTGAATTATACAAAGCAGCTCCCTAGCTTACAATACCTGGGACTTTTGTTAAACCTTTTTTTTTTTGAGACAGAGTCTCACTTTGTCACCCTTGGTAGAGTGCTCTGGCGTTATAGTTCACAGCAACCTCAAATTTTGGGCTCAAGCAATTCTTTTGCCTCAGCCTCCCAAGTAGTTGGGACTACAGGCACCGTCACAATGCCGGACTATTTTTTGTTGTAGTTGTCATTGTTGCTTTAGCTGCCCCGGGCTGGGTTTGAACCTGCCAGCCTTGGTGTATGTGGCTGGTGCTCTAACTACTGTGCTACAGGTGCCAAGCCTGCCCTGTTTCTATTGACTTTGTGTTTGATTCTTTGTGCCTATTCCTAGATGGAAAAAGACAGTGTATGAAAACTCAATCAGTAAAAATTTAAAAATAAATTCTAAAATTAAAAACTAAAAAAGACGGAGCTGACTGAGTGAATGTCCTGGGGTGTTTACCTAACTTTATGCTCTGGATTTCTCTCTCTCTTTTTTTTTTTTAAATAGAGACAAAGTTTCACTCTATTGCCCTAGGTGGGGTGCTGCAGCATCACACAGCTCAGAGCAACCTCCAACTCCTGGGCTTATCTCCTGCCTGGAGAGTCCTAAGTAGCTAGGACTACAGGAGCCGGCCACAACACCCGGCTTTTTGTTGCAGTTTGGCCGGGGCTGGGTTTGAACCCGCCACCCTCAGTATATCAGCATAAGGGGCCAGCACCCTACCCACTCAACCACAGGCACTGCCCTGCTCTGGATTTCTTTTAGCTGTGAGTCCTGTGAGACTTATAGGTGGATGGCCTAACTGCAAAGATTTGGTTCTTTGTGGGGAGAGAGCTACCCCTAGTGGGCTCATAGGAAATATACTCTGATGGACACTTCTTTCCCTTGACCCAAAATGAGGTGTTTTTATTTTGTTATTGCCTATGATAATAGATATAGATCTAAGCTTTTTTTTTTTTGCAGTTTTTGGCCGGGGGCTGGGTTTGAACCTGCCACCTCTGGCATATGGGGCCAGGGCCCTACTCCTTTGAGCCAAAGGCGCTGCCCAGCTATTTTTTTTTTTTTTTGAGACAGGAATCTCAAGCTAACAGCAATCTTCAACTCTTGGGCTCAAGCAATCCACCTGCCTCGCCCTCCCAGAGTGCTAGGATTACAGGTGTGAGCCACCGCACTCAG